CCCCCTCAGGCGCCCTCAACAGCTACAACAACGCCATCAAGATCTTCAAGGAGATCGCGGAGAACACCGGCCGCGAGGAGCCGGAGATTCCCGCGGAGATCTACAACAACGTCGCCGTGCTGCACTACCGCCTGGGCGCCTTCGAGGCGGCGGAGGAGAACCTGGAGCGGTCGCTGCGCGTCGCCAACGACGAGGCGGAGCACGACGAGGCCTACTTCCGCCTGATCCAGGTGTCGATTCGCTACAACTTTGGCCGCCTCTACGAGGCCGCCTACCGCCTGGTGAAGGCGAACGAGGTGTACGTGGCGCTGCTGCGCGACCACCCCACGCACACCGACAGCATGATCCGCCTGGGCTGCCTCCGCCGGGAGGCCTGCCACATCTACGAAGCGAGCGACTGGTTCAAGGAGGTGCTGCAGGTGGACAAGGACAACGCCGACGCCTGGATCCTCATCGCCAACATGCACTGCGCCAAGTCGGAGTGGGGCCCCGGGCAGAAGAAGTACGAGCGGGTGCTGGGGGCGGAGGCGACCAAGGACGACACGTACGCGCTGGTGGCCCTGGGCAACATCTGGCTGCACACGCTCTTCTCGGGAGGGAAGGGGGGCGGCACCCGGGAGGAACGGGAGAAGGAGCGCCGCCACCAGGAGCGCGCCATCAGCATGTACCGCAATGCGCTGCGGCAGGACGAGCTGAACCTCTACGCTGCGAACGGGATTGGCTGCGTCCTCGCCGCGAAAGGGGCCTTCAACGAGGCGCGGGACGTCTTCTCGCAGGTGCGCGAGGCGACGGCGGACTTTCCCGACGTCTGGGTCAACATAGCGCACATCTACGTGGAGACGCGGCAGTACGTGAACGCCATTCAGATGTACGAAAATTGCCACCGGCGCTTCTACCCGGCGCCCAACACCGAGATACTGATGTACATTGCCCGCGCCTACTACCGCTGGGGCCGGATGCGCCAGTGCAAGACGGTCCTCCTGCGCATTCGCCACGTCACGCCCAACGACGCGACGGTCATCTTCAACCTGGCGCTGGTGCTGCAGCGCATCGCCGCCTCGGTGCTCGAGGAGCCGAAGTGCCCCCTGCGCACCATCCTCTCCGCCGTGCACGAGCTCAACCTGGCGCACCGCTACTTTGACCACCTGCGCCTCAATCCCGAGCCGACCAAGTTTGACCCGGTGGCGGCCGGCGCGGAGGAGCAGCGCTGCAAGGACCTGATCACCCAGGCGCAGCACCACGTGGCGCGGGCGCGGCGCGCCGACGCGGAGGAGCAGGAGGCGCGGCGGCGGCAGGAGGCGGAGCGAGCGGCGCTGCGCGCCAAGGCCCAGGAGGAGAGCCGTGCCCGGGAGGAGGAGCGCCGGAAGGTGGAGAAGGAGCTGATTGCCAAGCGGCAGGAGTTCGTAGCGAAGACCAAGTCGATTCTCATCTTTGACCCGCAGATGGAGGAGAAGCCCAAAAAGGGAGGTGGTGGAGGTGGTCGCGGAAGAAAGAGCGCCCACCACGGAGAGGACGGCTTTGTCACCGACAGCAGCAGCAACATTGAAAATCGAACCGCTGGAGGAGGAGGGGAAAAGACAGGCGGCAAGAAGAAGAAGAAGAAGAAGGAGGGCAAGCGAGGTCGCAAGCGCCGGAATCGTGGCTCTGGTGGCTCTGCTGAATCGGATGAGGAGGGAGGTGGCGGCGAGGTGAACGAAGAGGAACGTCGAAAGCGACGCGAAGAGCGACAGCAGCAGAAGCGGAAGAAACAGCGAAAAGGCGGTCAAAAGGAAAGTGCCAAGAAGGGACGCCCCTCAAAGCCGGAAAAGGCGGAGCAACCGGGCAAGTTCAAGTCCAAGGCGTACATCTCCTCCTCGGACTCGTCGTCCTCTTCTTC